GTTGGAGAATGGTCTTAAAATAATTCTGAGCATTATGTTCCCTCATATGAAAGATGCTAGCTCCAATTATTTCTTCTTCTTCTTCTTAATTTCACACTGCAGAAATACTAATACTAATAAATTGCTTCTTCTTTTTTGGGAGAATAATGCTAATAAATTGCTAGGTTGTGGATATGTGTATGATGATCTGCAGATAGATTAATGTATTGTGAGAGACTAAATATTTGAAAAAGAATAAGAAAAAGGAAAAGCACTAGTAAAAAGAAATGAATTAAAGCTTACACAATAAAGGGGGAAACTAAAATAGTTAAGCTACCTTAATATCAATGCCATATATATATATATATACACAAATTTTTTATTTACAAATTTTCACAAACTACATTATTTCTGACCGGTCATACTGCAATCAAGAGTATATGACCGATCAGACTTAGTATAATTTGTAAAAAAAATTATAAACGGATTCTTCTCATATATATATGTGTGTATATATATATGGGAAATCATTTTCTTATGTTGTTGAAAATTATTTTCTCATGTTGTGAGGTATCAAAATTCGTGTTATCTTTTTTTTTTTTTAACAAGTGGTGGGACCTACCATTTGTTGTGTCTATAGCATGAGAGATGTTATATGATGTGAGACACAATAAACTTAGGTTTATATATATATATAGGGTTTGTTTTTTCTGATGTTACTTTAGATAATTTTATCTAATGTTCATCAAAACGACGTCATTTTGGGACGAAAATCATGGTATTTTTATAATTTTAATTTATTTCAGGGTTATAATAGTCTTTATCGCTTTAATTTTTTAATTTTTCAACCCCAAAACGACGTCGTTTCGATGAACATTAAATAAAGTTATCTAAAGTAACATCGAAAACTTTTTTCCCATATATATATATATATATATATATATATATATATATATATAATACTTCAAGAATAAAAATTGGTTTCTCGCGGACACAATAAACTAGTAGGGTCCACGAGTTAGTTTTTCTTTCTCCTCAATTCAGATTCTTTCTCCTTGTTATTATCTCTTCTGGAAACTTTTATTTCATCCTGTAACATTATTGTTGTATTTCCGGTAAAAGAGTGAGACTGCGAGCAAATATTTTTTTCACCTTTGTGCACACACAATTTTAAATCTTACGTAAATGATCAAAAATAATTTTACTAAAGTAAAGCGTTCACACAATACAAATGGTTGTTACTTTTACCAATAAAGGTGATGGACATGGTTCAACTCCTGTGGAACTCATTTGAACTACTAATTAGCAGCCGTTAAATAACTATCACAAAAAAAGAGGTTAAGGTATTCATTGTACAAAGGGTACTTGTTAGGCACTACTAGTTTAGGAGCAAGTGCAATTAATTAGCTTGGCATTGCTTATCTCAAAAGTCATGAGGAAGGAAAACCAGTAAACCTAATACTCACTCCACCTCGTGGAGGTGAAGACAAGGTAGTTTGTTACAACTAGGCATGCAACACCACGCATTTACACTATAACAAACAAAGACTCTATCTACTCATTCATCACTTTGTTTTTATTCAATATTATTTTTTTTGAAAATATTTCAATCGGTTCATTGCTTCGCAATTAATCCGATTCAGGACGAGTTCAGGATTAAAGCTTTAAATCCCTCCCAAAAGTGATATTGAGGAGATTCGAACACATGCTCTTGCCCCACCTGCTTAGCTCTCATGCGCCAACTGAGCTACCACCATTTGATTTTTATTCAACATTATTGTTTTTTAGTGAATGAACAGGCTTTGACAAAACAATTTTAATTTAAGAGGTTCTTGATTCGCATATCTGTAGAATATACATCACCCTATGATCTGCCTAAACAATTATAAAAAGAAATGAAAAAGTAAAATAATAATCTCCGGTCTAATAAGAAAGGGGGTTTCTTAGATTTGATACTCACTTTTAAAGGCCTAAAAATCACAATGCAATCATTTACTAAAAGTTTAAGGTAATTTTATGAAATTAAAACATATGATTTTATGAAAAGAAATGAAAAAGTAAAATAATAATCTCCGGTCTAATAAGAAAGGGGGTTTCTTAGATTTGATACTCACTTTTAAAGGCCTAAAAATCACAATGCAATCATTTACTAAAAGTGATTAAGGTAATTTTATGAAATTAAAACATATGATTTTATGAGTTACCTTTTTTGAGTAATTATGTAAAAATAATTAATATAATTAAATACAACTTTATAAAATAAATATTTTCTTTTTTCTAATTATATTATTTCAATGGCCATCTTTACATTGTCGAGAATGAAAAACATTAAACTGAGTTATTACTTTAGAAAATAAAAATAAAAAGTCTCCATATTTATCAATAATTGATTCAAGTGGAAAGCAATTTATTTTTATTAATCATAAATTTTAGAGTTTAAAAGTTTTAAGAATGGAGAAATTTAGTATTGGAAGAGCCATCTCAATATGAACCCAAAAATCCTTGAATTGGATTAAATCGGCTAGATATAAAAAAATATTAAAAAATTATATCTATCTTTGTTAAAAATCAACTATTAGTATTATAATCTACATTCATTACAAATTATAAATTTATTATAATTATTTTCCTACTAAGAGATTGATAATACTTTTAATTTTCTTTTTAAAGTGAATAACCACTTTACAGGAGTCAAATTTGAATAACTATATGTAGTATTTCACTTGACGAAAACAATATTTTTAGTTGTCAATGTTGGCAAGTAAAGAAATTTCTAAATAACGCAATGATTATTCCAATTTTTTTTTTTCCGTTTCTACATTGAGTTTTTTTTAATGAAAATCTTCAAGCATAATTTTATTTTTTACAAAAGAAGAAAATCTTAAACGTTACCCTTTTCTTCTTTTCCCATTCCCGGGACACCAACTAGTAGTTGGCAGAACTTGGGTAATTGTTTAAAAATTAATTTTCTGGTCTCATAATTGACAACACATAATTGAGATATATACACACGAAAAAGTGGAAAAATAAAAAATTGCATATATAATTTAACAGAAAAATATTTCTGCAGTTAATGCAGATAAGTTATCTGCATTTACTTCTAAAACGAAGTCGTTTTAGGATTGAAAGATTAAAAAATTATAATTATAAAGACTATAATAATCCTGAAATAATTTAAAATTACAAAAACACCATGATTTCCGTCCAAAACGACGTCGTATTGAGCTTAACTGCAGAAAAAGCGAACCCATAATTTAATAAGTCTACACGTTAATCATAATTTTCAAAAGAATCTTTCTAACATTATTTCATTAAATTATGAGCCGCTATTAAAATTAAACTTTCTTAAAATTACCTTCTCTTTTTTCTTTTCCCCTTAGCTAGTATGTACTTCACTTTACTTTATTTCACTCCCTTAGCTAGTATGTACTTCACTTTATTTTCTCTCGCCTCCCTCGTGAGGAAACTTTTCCATCAAAATTACACATCTTACTGCAAGTGCAAACCAATAGCCAAACTCGTAAGAGCATAACATAAGTATTAGCATTTCAAGTGTAAAAAGTAAAAACTACCATACCAAATGACACCCTTAAATTGTTGCTATGTATAAAGTACATTTGAAGTTAGGTGGTGTCATATGAATTTGTTCTTTTTAAACTTGAATGAATTATCATCCTTGAACAAATGAGTTATTATGGCTCATTTTTCTCAACGGTTACCATTCACCGGTACATGCCTAATTGCAAGTTGCTTCCATTCTAAGCCGAACTGCTAACTACAAAAAGTTGTTGCTTGCGAAAGTAGTCGTGACTCATAATTAATAATGGATAAAGGAGTTAGCTGACCCTTTCAATGCCACCTTATTTCATTATGCTCACAGAAGCATTCTTAAGCCACACAAAAAATCCACAGTTCTTTAGCTTAAGTATCATAATAATAATTTAGAACGAGTATATTCCACGTATATATACATAATAGGTACAGAGAAAGTTAGGTGGGGAGATACATAATATATCAAATCAAAATTAATTTTGTCTTATTTCTCCATTTTCATGCAAGCACAATCCCTAGCTAGAGGGGAGATACATAATGTATCAAATCAAAATAATTTCTAAAGAATTGGCCATGGCAACATCATAATTAGAGAAGTTTCTGTATTAGTATAAACTAGTCTATATTGTGATTAGAACCATACAGTGAGCAAGGTACCGCCCCATATGACCTTAGTAACACTAACAAATTCTTCTGTTTTTTATGGGCTTAGAAGTTTATTTGATGGAGGTCTGTTTGTTTCATGAAAGCCAGCCCACTAGGCTACGACTAAGGTCCCTCAAGGAGTTATCTGTCTACCCACACATTTGAAGGCTTGAAGCAAACTCTTTTTGGGATGTTTGGTATGGGAAAAAAAATTTATTACAAGAAAAAAAAAATTATCGAAATGTGATGAGTAATTTTTTTTAACCCGGATAAGTTACAAAAATGTGTTTGCTATGGAAAAAAATTGCCAGGAAAGTTGGTTTATTTTTACTTATGTTATGTTTGGTTGATAGTGAAATATTGATGAGAATGTGTTATGAAATTACGAAATTATCCATATTGATGGTGAAATAATGTTAAAATATTAGAATGACTGCTAGCAAACATATGTTTTAGAACATTGGTACATTTTAGCACTCCATTGTAGTTTTCAAAAATTTACATCACTTCTATTATTGTTCAGAAATTGTACTTGATATAGACTTTTTGAAGACATTTTTGTCCACAAATCGTAAAATGAGTTTCTCCATTACTCAAATTAAAAAAATACCACACTTCATATTGCAAAATTTTTTTTCCATTGCCCAGTTGAAAACGAAATGCATGGGAGGAATATTATACTGGTATTCTCTAACTTGAAGACATACCAAACGTGGTTAATATATTTTATCTACCCCACTTATCCTACATTCTTATCATATTCTCCCTACCAAACACTCCCTTTAAAGTCCAAAACTCAAACCGTTTAAGCAAAAAAAAAGTCTTGTACTCCAACTGGTCAAAAGAAAATTTACACACAAGTGAGCAGTGAAAAGCGAATAAGTAACAATCTGTTAGGGGCTCTCCTAGAGTTTAGGCACATCCGTGCATGGTTTAAAGCCTCTTTTGCATCATTATAGCTATGTTCTCATACAAGCAAAATGCTAGAGGCATATAGTCTATACACGCAATATAATATCATGTTGAATCATAGCTTACACGGGTAATATTAGAAAGCAAACAACAGATAAAACAAGTTGCATGAGTTGCATTTACGCTGGAGTCAAACCAACCACACCTGCAAACAAAGCAAGCACAACAGAGATGTTAATACAAACGAGAAACATAAAGTTTATGATACAGAGATATTGAAGTATAACATTGCAACAATTGCAGATACATAAACTAAGCAGCAGCTTTTCAGAATCAGACTATGAAATTAGATTATCGATGCTGGACCGGCCACACAAGCTGGGTCCATTAAGGCCCATATAAGTAGTCACACCACTGCATAAAGTGAGACAATTACCCTCTCACCACAATGAATTTCACTCCCCATGCACCAAAGTAAGAATGATTGCATCACACCTAGTGGGGTCCACAGGGCCAAAATGGTTACTACTCCCAGTCACTTATCATTGGAGAGTTTTCTATGCTTATATATTCCCTTCTTTTACCATTTTTATTTTTTTTTAGTATATCAAAGGGGCAAAGACCAAAAGAAAACTACAAAAGGATAGAATCAGAGTCTAGACAAAGACTCAGCTCCTGAGGAGCATCAAACAGAATAACAAAGTCCTCTGTTGCAGAAGAAGCTAGCTTAGCAAGGGTGTCAGCACAACTACTGTTGTCCCTTTTGACATGGTTGAACATGACATTCCAATCCCTGGTACTCCAGCTTCTAATGCTTTCCACAAGTTGCATAGAGACACAGCTATCCTGATTCCCATTGATCGCTTGAATGGCTAGAAGACAATCACTTTCTATCACCAGCTGAGCAATTCGATTAGACCAGGCAACTCTAATCCCCATGTAAATGGCCCACAGTTCAGCTATGAGGGGAGAACAAATGCCAATTTTATACAAAAAACCCCATAACCAGTTACCATTGGCATCTCTAAACAGGCCTCCACACGCTGCTAGCTTCGAGTTAGGCTTGATAGATGCATCCACGTTGAGCTTGACCTAGCCGAAGGGAGGGGCTTTCCACGACTCAACCGAGTTGACTTGCAAAGGAACCTGCTGTTGCTTAGAAATATTCCAACTAGACCTGATGTCTCTGATAAACTTTGAGATAACTATAACTGGCTGGTCTGGTCTAGAGAAATGAGGATCATGGACCTCACTATTCCGCCATTTCCATAGGTGCCAAGTAGTGGAAGCAAATATGTCTATCCAGTTCAGTCATTGTAGGTTCGACCACCCCTGGTTGAGATTCTTTTGGAGCCACCCAGCTAGCGGCAGATTGAAGAAGTCAGCAGGTGGGGACCCTTGAAACCAAGCCACCCAGATAGAAGTTGCGTTGGGGCAATCCCTGAGCACGTGGATAATGGTTTCCGTCGCCATGGCACATAATGGGCAGGCTGAGGAGCCACTCCATCTTGCCGAGTAATCATTAGTAAGGAGCCGACCATGGTACACTGTCCACATGAAGGCATAAATTCGCTGGGGGCCTTTCCATTTCCAGATGGCTTTCCAAATAGGGTCCTCACATGAGGGATCAAAGTTCATGAGGCCGTTGTAAGCTTCTCGGATCAAGTTTTTATGGTTACTCGGATTACTCCACACTAGGCTATCTTCCCTCCCATTGCAAACAGGGGGAATTATGGGGCGAATTGCTTGGACCACTTCCAGAGGAAGGTACAGACTCAGGATGACCAGCTTCCACTGCCCTGAGTTGTTGTCCACCCAATCAGCCACCCTGTTGTTGAATTCACTGTGATCTAGATCAGTAATGACATAGTCAATCAGAGGCTTCTCCCATTGGGTCCATCTATGCAGCCAGAAGTCAACTTCTCTCCCATTACCAACGTTCCACCTTAAGGACTCCAGGAAAGCCGACCAGATTTTGCTCAGGCTTTTCCATAGGATTGAATCAGCTTGACCGGATTTGATTTGTCTTCTAAGGTCTAAGTTTCGGCCATATTTACTAGTGAGCACTCTCACCCACAAAGTCTCTCTATTGCTGATAATCCTCCAAGCCACCTTGTGGAGGAACCTTTAGCACACATATTCACCTAGTTGTTACTCTACTAAAATACAGCCTCAGTCAAGATCTACAGTGTCCAACACTTCCCCCTGATTCTTAGCCTTACATAAGACTCACTCGCGGTTACTCTCTTGTTGAGTTTAGATTCATACCTTTGCTTCACTAGATCACTGTTACATCGACACACTACACCCCTAGAGGGAAACAGACCTATTTACGCCACACAAACAGTTCGCATACTTTAGAGGCGATGATCAATGGTAAAAGTTGATAACGATTTTTCATACCAAATCTTAGGTTTGAAGACTCTCTGCAAAAGTTAATTGATAAATAAGTCAAAAAAAAAATTTCAATATCCAATGAGCAACATAAAAGGAATCTAAAATATATTACTCATTGCTTTTATTGGACAATTCCAAGACTTTATCATCTCTGCAGCCTACAGGTCTCTAATATCATATATAGATTTTCTATCTAGACCTCCAGTCACCACTCTCTATATCCAATATGAGCATGCACCAATACTTTGCTATGTATATAATGTCAATAAAGCATGTCTCTGATCAACGTAGCTGTGGATGGTAATCATCAGTTATAGGAATAAATCTGGGGTACGGTGCTCCTTCTTTCTAAAAAGGGGAAACTTTTATCCCATTTAAACCACCATCTTCATTTTTATTTCTCTCCAAATCCCAATTTTTTACTCTTTTTAGAAAAGATGTACCTACAGCAGTAGTACACAAGATTTGTTCCAGTTATAGATCAAGGACCCAGCTTATTCAGCGGAGTTACATACACAATTTTGAAAATTACATATAGAGTGTGTTTCTTTCTTCTTTTTTTGTGTTTCTGAACTATATCGACACAGCATTATTTTTTTTGGAACCATTTTATGAGAAAGAGTTTTGGGCATTTTACGAAAGAAATAAAAGTAATCACAAAGTTAAAGAAAATTAGTAATTTTTTGAATATCAAAGCAAAAACTGAATCAAATAACATATAATCACGTCAGAATGGATGGATTGATGAATTTGGAAAGAATATAATTGTTTTAGTTCATTTTTTTTCCATACCACATGCCAATCTTCCACCAGCATTTCCAGTGCTCAAACTAAGTTCTTGCCCACCTAAAAAAGTGGAAGTAAAAGAAAATGAGACTAAAACTAAAAATGCTCCAATTATGATTGGGCATGAATCTTAATATACAAGTCCACTATTGCAATATAAGAAAAATATTAGCATGAGGAAGAAAAGCCAATCTCATGTTCTATGTCATGACATTCCTTTCATGTTCTGAGAGAAAAATTCTGAAGCTTGTAACAGTAATTTCCTATACAGCACAGAGTTGTGAAGCAAATATAAACAAATGTATAAGGTATGACTTTACCCTTTCCAAGGTCATCCTCAAGCTCATGAACCACTAAGGCTCTTCCAACTACTGAATTGGGGCCATTGAGTGGTATCTGCACGTTTAAGGCCAAACACAACAATTAGCTACTATCAAAAAGAAACTACAGGTCAATTCAAACCCACCGACATAAGGAGCAAAGGTTGCAAACCATATTAAAAGACAATTATATGAAAAAACAAAGAACACCTGATTGTCCACAATTGTTGCTTCTGCAACCCCTGTGTTTCAAAAAATGATAAAATGAGTACATAAATAAATGGGATTCAAAAGCAGAGGGAAATGAAAGAGATTGAAAACATGCATTACCATCGGCATTAGCAACTATGTTTCCCAGGTCACCCGCATGGCGCATTTCATCCTTTGGAGCACCATGTTTCAGTTTATTAGGATTAAAATGTGCTCCTAAACATGCCATTCAATTCAAGTAGCAAACACTTTTGACTTCATCAACTGAACCATATAAAAAAAAAAAGAAAAAAAAAAAGAAAAGTAAAGAAAACCCAAGGTAAAAATATAAACTAAGGTTACGCCTTACCAGTTGATACACACCCATTTGTGGTGTCACCATACTCATGCTACATTAGAAAATATTACAAGTTAGAAAATGATTTAAAAACAAAAAAAAGATGACAAAGCAAAATGCCTCAAAGACCAAATTTGTTAAAATCTAAATTTTAAGTAAAATCGAAAGGGGTTAAAAAATCATAAAATGTAAAATCGTAATATTAAAAAAAATAGTAAAAAACATAAAAGCGTTTGTAATATTGGTATAATCATTTTAATGAAAAAAAAATTATAAAATCATAGTAATAAATCGAGAATTTAACTACTCAGAGACTCACTAGGTGAAAACCATGAGGCCCTGGAGTAAGACCAGAAACACGAACATTAACAGTTGTTGGGCCTACACACACCACATAGGTAATTAGCACGCTGAGAACTAAAGCCACAAAGAGGAGTTCTCAGCTACAGAATGTAACAAAGGAACTTCACGCGCAGTTCCAGCCATTTTTACAAGTGAAGAAGGGAATGGTTCAAAGTTGAAACCTTTGATGGAGTTTTCATTATGGGTCTCCTTATATTGAAATGGAAGTTTTTAAAGGAATTGGTAGAGTGGCAGGTGAAATAAGCAAAAGCAAACAAGAGGGGGAAGAATGGAAGAGAAGGAACCATTGTCTTGTTGGGTTATCTTGACAACGCCTTCCACGGCGGAATTTCCCTTGAGGACTGCGACGGCTTTCTTGGTAGCGGCGCCGGCGACGAGGGTGAAGGGTTTAGAGGGAGTGGCGGCGACGGTTACGGATTGGGGAGGGAGGTTGAAAATGATGGGGAAGGAAGAAAATGGAGTTGGTTGGAATGAAAGAATGGTGTGAGCAGCCATGGCTGCGAACGCTGCTTCCATTGGTAATTTGGTAGTATAGTCTATGCTCAATGCCACTCTATCTGTTCTTGAATCTTTTCTTTTTTGCGTGGCTGTTGTTAAATTTAAATGTACACCCTCAACTTTTACGTATTTACAACGAGAATAATGTATTTATAAATTTTCTGTTTATAAATTTTTACAAATTATATTATATCTGACCGATCAGATATTTTTAAATAAAATATTATCGGTTAAACATAATATAATTTATAAATTGATAAAAAAAAAATTATTAATATAATTCTACTCATTTATCAATACGGCATTTTAATTTTCTAAACAATTCAAACATTTTAAAATAAATAACATACTCACCGTACCACTTTTTTAAAATTGAATATAAATAAAATTATAAGTGATATTTATAGCTGTATAAGTTGTGTACTGAGGCAATGGAGCCCCTACCCTTGTGTAATTTCTTGTAAGGGATTCTTGTACACTCCAGTCTCATCCTAAAAAAATTGAGTGTGATAAATATAAGGACAAAAAGCTACTAAGGCTTCAATGTGGATATATACACATATTAACAATAGCGATTGAATCCGTTTATAAATTTATTTTTGTAATTACACAATAATTATAAAGCCTAATCTAAACTCCTTTAGAGATGAGGGTGTGTGTACATATACATCGGTGAAAACATAGTAGTAGCACATGATAGTGTTCCTACAAGATTTGTTTGGACGGCCTTAAAAAAAAATTATGACTTGTTTTTTTTTTAAATTATTTTTAAATTATTTTATGTTTGGATAAAATATATAAAAATTATTTTTTAATAAAAAGGTTATATGGATATTAAAAAAGATTAACGACTCTAATTTGTAAGCATGTGACAGATCTTTTTTTAATTTAATGGCTCTGGTGTCAAATTTCAAATTTGACACTGATGTCAAAGGATCCTACTTCATATATATATATATATATATATATATATATATATATATATGGGATTAAGATTATTTTACACCAGTGTAAGTTACACTCTCAATCTTGATAATTGATCTTACTTATATCTACGGGTTCTAATTTTTTAGTTATGTAAGCTATTAGATACAAGTGGATCAATGCTCAAGATTGAATGTAAGACTTCAAACTTTTACATTAATGTAAGAATATACTGCTCCATATATATATATATATATATATATATATATATATATATGAAAATAATAATGATAACGAAGTGGAGTGATTGGAGTTAGGTTGAGGTAAGATTGGTTTTTCAAGAAAAATATTTGATTTTTCACTTTTTTTTTTTTTTAAGGAATCCTGACTTAAAATAAAAGCACTATATTAATTTTTTTAAAAAGTTGATATCTAAATATATAAAATTACTCAAAAAGACTTTTTTTAATAAAAAAAAACTTACTCTTACATTAATGTAAGAATATACTGCTCCATATATATATATATATATGAAAATAATAATGATAACGAAGTGGAGAGATTGGAGTTAGGTTGAGGTAAGATTGGTTTTTCAAGAAAAATATTTGATTTTTCAAATTTTTTTTTTTTTTTTTTAAGGAATCCTGACTTAAAATAAAAGCACTATATTAATTTTTTTTAAAAAGTTGATATCTAAATATATAAAATTACTCAAAAAGACTTTTTTTAATAAAAAAAAACTTTTCTAAAAAAAAAAAAAAAACTTATCCAAACGCACACCGTATATACATTTAAAAGTGGGATGTTGTTACCAAAAAAAAGAAAAAAAAAAGTGGGATGAGAAACTGGAGAAAGTAGGTATCAATTAGTTGACTCCAATTGCCAAGCCTAACGACTCTAATCCTAATTTAAAAACATACACTACAACATTCTTTGCATTTAATTGCATAATTTACTATCTTGCAAAGTAAACTTGTATTGACAATGTTACAAAAGAATTATAAATTGTGCAAAAATGGAATGAACGATAAAGTTTTTCATAAAGATTTTAAAAGCCAAATAATTCTCCCATATAATAAGCAAGATGCACGTGAAGACTCCGAACTATTTAACACAAAATGGTGTATTGGATTGGAATTTTAAAGAATTTTAATGGATTATTTTTAGACAAAAAAATTCATTGGTATTCAATAAGGATTTTAATAGATAAAAAAAATTCATATGACATTCGATTAGGATTTTAAAATATTATTTTAGAATCCGTCCAAATCCGTTGATATTCAATCAAAATTTTAAACAATGGAAAAATAACATTGTGTATTAAAAAATATAATGATTTTAATGACTTTTCTTATTCTATTGGCGTGAATTTGGTAAGACTTTTCAATAAGTACGACACAATAAATATTATTAATTACTAATAAATTATGACCGTTAGAATAAAAGAAATGAACAATAATTAAATTATGTCATTTAAAATGACAAACACTAAACCTTTAAATTAATTGTAAAAATGATAAACTACTTTTTTTGACTTTTTTTTGGTGATAAATGAATGTGTTCCCATGCCTACTTTATCTATTCTTCTTCTATACTTTGGATTACAATCTTATCCTTATTATTATTATTATTATTATTATTATTATTTGGAATTTTGAGTTTAACAGTTTGGACTTTAGACCGAACTCGAACTAGAAAGTCCACGTTACAAATGGGGAAGAAGTGCAAAGTGCGAAGTGCTAAAAGTAAAAAAAAAAACAAAAAACAAAAAAGAAGAAATTGAGAGATGAGAATGGGATGAAGGTGAAATCCATACAAATCTAGAAAAAGCAAAAGAAGGCGTTAATGGAACCACGAAACCCCTCTCCCTCTCCCTCTCCCTCTTCCTCTTCAGTTCGAGTACTCATTCGCCCTACTCAATCTTCTTCTTCTTCTTCTTCTTCAACCTCCGATCATCCCTCAGCTCCACCTCACTCCTCCTCCTCCGAAGGCGTTGTGGTTGTCGGTTTCATTGCTCGGCGACACGACGATTCCGCTCACCTCATTAACCGAGTCATCGACTCCAACGTTTTCGCCTCTGGCAATCTCGACAAGCCGTTATTCGTCGACGACGATGAAGCCAGGGACTGGTTCAAGCGCAGGAGAATCAGTTATTTCCACGACCACGATAAGGGGATTCTGTTCCTCCAGTTTTGTTCCACTCTCTGTCCCGCCATTCACGGCAGCGGCGGCGGCGGCCCGGAAACCGCGCCGGGATTCGACTCCGTCGTGGAAGAGCACGACTTCGGCGACCTCCAGGGAATGCTCTTCATGTTCTTTGTAAGTCATTTTCTTCACTGTTATAACCGTCTTAATGTAAATATATTACAATATCATGACTGTGAGATAAGACCATGTCACAGCCTCCAACGGATTAGGAACCTAATTTTGTTGTTTTAGTTAGTTTCTTGATATAGCAGGGTGTGTGTGTGTGTGTGTGTACTTTCAATTATAAATTGTGCATAATTGGTGTAATTGACAACTTAGAAATGCAGGTTTGCCATGTTATCATATACGTTCAGGAGGGTTCACACTTCAGTACTAGGATTTTAAGGAATTTTCGTGTGCTACAAGCAGCCAAGCATGCTATGGCTCCCTTTTTTAGATCCCAAACTACACCACCCTTGCCGTCTAGATCGCATTCTTCTTCGTTGTCGTCGCGACCTACATCTTCGGCTAGCAATTCTTCTCCAGGTAGAGGTGGTGGTAACTTGAGTCGCAATGCGTCGGCCATATCTCTCATGTCGGGTTTAGGTTCTTATACTTCTTTGTTTCCAGGACAGTGCATACCTGTCACATTGTTTGTTTTTGTCGATGACTTCTCCAATTTACTGAATTCCAACACAAATGGGGAGGACACTTCTTCGGATGTTTCTTCACTTAATCAGTCTTCTAGTTTGAGTAGTGTAGCCAAGACAAACTTGCCTGCTAAAGGTTCTGGTTCAGTAGTTGTGCTGGCACGACCTGCAAGTCGATCTGAAGGTGGATTTAGGAAGAAATTACAGTCATCTCTTGAAGCACAAATTCGATTCCTGGTTAAGAAATGCCGTACATTATCGGGTTCTGAGATAACTCATTCTGGTGTGAGAACTGGGGGTAACTCAAGTTCTGCACCTTTGTTTTCACTTGATGCATCAAGGGCAGTTGTCTTGTTGGATCGGCTTTCAAATCAAAAAGGTGAGTCTCTTGAGTTTGCCACTGGACTTGTTGAAGATGTCTTAAATGGGAAAGCTACCTCAGATTCCCTTCTGCTTGAGAGCCATGGTCAAAGTGCAAACAAAGAAGATTTAATATCTGTTAAGGAGTTCATTTACAGGCAATCTGATATTTTGAGAGGGAGAGGTGGACTAGTTAATACCAACAGTGGCTCAGCTGCTGGTGTCGGTATGGTTGCTGTTGCAGCAGCGGCTGCTGCTGCCTCAGCTGCATCTGGGAAAACATTTACTACTCCTGATCTTCCAAATTTTGAAGTTTGGTTAACTTCTAGTCATCATATCTTGAGTAGAGTTCTCTGTGCAAAAGTGGGTTGCTTGGATGAATTTGAAATTATTAAAAGAAAACCTCGTCCAAGGAACACTGTTTCACCAGCAGTAGAAGGATCTTTGAAGAGTACAAATCCTTTAGATGTTGCAGTATCTTGGTTGCAAAGTGGTAGAGGGCTGAACACTAAGTTTTCAACTTTGTGGTGCCAAAAAGCCATTCCAGCTGCAAAGGAGATTTATTTGAAAGATTTGCCCACATGTTATCCTACTTCACAACACGAAGCCCATTTAGATAAGGCTTTGCATGCATTTCGCTCAATGGTAAAAGGACCTGCAGTGCAACTTTTTGCAAAAAAGTTGGAAGAGGAATGCACTTCTATTTGGAAATCAGGAAGGCAACTATGTGATGCTGTTAGTTTGACGGGCAAACCATGCATGCATCAAAGGCATGATGTTGAGACCAGTAAATCAGACTTAGGAGCTTCGGCCAAGCCACATTCCAGTGGCTATTTTTTTCTTCATGCCTGTGCTTGTGGTCGTTCCCGACAGTTACAGTCTGATCCCTTTGATTTCGAATCAGCTAATGCTAGTTGCTTCTCTGACTGTGATAAGCAACTTCCTGCAGTCAAACTACCAGAAATAGAAGTTGCAGGACCTGTTCAATCTTCCCCTTGGAGTTTGCTTCGTATTGGGGGTGCAAGATACTATGAATCTTCTAAAGGTTTACTTCAAAGTGGATTTTGTGCCACTCAGAAATTTCTTCTAAAATGGACAATATACCTAGAAAAACAGAGGAGATCAAATGGTTCAATAGAGAGTATAGTGAAACAAGGCTCTGTAATTAGGCCACCCAAGGCTGAATACATTGCAGATGCTAAGAAAACTGGTGTTAGACAACCCCACCCTGCTGTGCAGAATGGAGTGGAAGACCAAAGAACATCTTTAGATACAAACAAGGCTGATGATAAAAAGATAAGTTTTGGTAGAGGTTTTCCTATTTTCAAAATGAGAAAACCTTTTTCTGAGGTTGTTGCTGGATCAGTGGCTGCTGACTCAGGATTCCCTCCACTTCAGCAAAGGAAATTGCCTACATCTGGTTCAGAAAAGGGTACGAAGCAAAGCAGGCCAAGTAGTCAGAATTCAGAGTGGGTTAATGCAGCCGTTGATCATCAAGTATCTCAAAAATCTCAAGATATATCATTTACTCAGGGACTTGTTGATGGTAATGGCAATAATAGCTGCAGGGATGGTGACCCCTTTTTGAGGATAGGTAGCAATGTAGTGCCTGTATACTTGAATGGTAGTGAAAGGAGCAAATCTCATTCTTCTTTGAAACATGTAATAGTATATGTTGGATTCGAGCACGAGTGCCCCCATGGCCACCGTTTCCTGTTAAATGCTGAACATCTCGCTGAACTTGGATCTTCATACTCATTATCTGAAGAATCTCATATATCTTCTCTGGAGTCTGCTGGCAAAAATCAGGCCTATCATACTAAAGTAAGCAAGAATGCTTCCTGGGCCAAAGTCCATCGAAGTGCAAATGAAATTCTTTCTGCATCTATAAATAAGGAAAGAGATGTGAACAAATCAAATGAAATGATCCCTAATGGTGATTTGAATTCAGATGGATTAATATATACTTCCATTCCACTGAAGGAACAAAATTTTCCCTCTATGAATGTATTATCAAAAACCCCCAATCTTATGAAAGATCTTGGAGGGGATTTTCAAGCTATTGGCATGGATGGTGATGATCTTGCATTCTCCATGTTGAATCGAAACTTGCCTATCTACATGATCTGTCCTCACTGCAGGCATTCTAGGAATAAGAAAGATACTTCAAAAGTTAAGTTTGCCAGTGGTATCTCACAGCTGAAAAGGATTTTTCTGGTATGAGTTGCTGCTGATATAAGCATTTTACTAAGTCTCAGTTAGCATCATTGATTTTTTTTTTTTTTCCTGTTAATATAATGCATGTTGTTACTCAAACATGTTCTGTCATTTACATAATTTTTTATTGTAAAAAATATGAGGATTGCACAAATTTCCTTTCATTGTTTGTAATTTACACCGTGAACAACACTTTTTGCACATTTGCTTTATGTAAAAGACAAATGAGCTATCACTTTCTAGGCTACTAAACTTTTGCTTTCATCTCGATTAACTTATATCATTTTCTTTTTTATTGGTTAAGATAAACTAACATTTCATTGGATGCACTTCAAGGTAAGGAATGACTGATTGATAGGGTACCAGTTTCTATAACATATTGCTTGTGATGCTTTTAAAGAAAGGCACCATGTGAATTATGAAATATTTTCAACTTGTGATGTAAATACAGACTTTCTTCTTTAAAACAAAATCTTACAAACCGCCCATTACTCTTTAGGGAGTTATGTTTTACCATTTGGCATCTTCAAGGTTGAATTAACTGGTGAAAATGAGGGGTTTATCATTAATTCTTGTTTGTTGGGCATTAACCCTGGGGTTTGAAAACTCTGTTTTTTTTTGCTAGTGTATGTATTGGTTGCTACATGATATGGATGTTGGATTTCCTTTTGTGTCAGGATAATAATTTTCTCATAATTATTATCAGATTAGCAACCTAATCTTTAGACATTTCTGTAGGTGACCCCTGCTTTTCCTGTGATACTAGCAACATGTCCTGTCGTACAATTTGAGGTATATCTTTCTTCTTTCGTTATGTAAAATAACAATAGTTCTCATATTTAAAATGCAAGGGCTTTAGGTAGATAAGAGTCGAAATTATCGAGAAATGGCTGTTTTAGGATGGGAGAGAACAACCTTCAGTTATGTATTGTAGGCCCAAGTTGCGTTGCTATGTGTTGTATTTGTCGAATGCATTGTTTCATCTTTGTAATTGCTGGAATTACCAAAGCGATGAACAAAGAACAGAGAACTGGAAAGCATTTAGAGTTACCTGTGATTTATTAGCTACTATCTCTGAATGGGTTTCAAGATTGGAGTTAAATTTAGAGGGCTGGGATGTTTGATTAAATCCAATTTTTTTGCATGCTTTTTTGTTCTTTTCCCAGCATTGTTGTTCGGACTTCTAAAATAAAATTAAGATTTTTGTACTTTTTATTATTCTGGTCAATCCTATAATATTCTAGCTATTTTGTCCTTGTAGACATCATGCCTGCCTTCATCAGTTCCAGATCGTGAACGAAAATTGCAGTTTAGCCTTGGATGTCAAGTGGTCTTACCTCCAGAGAGTTTCCTCACTCTTAAATTACCATTTGTGTATGGCGTGCATCTTGAAGATGGAAACAAGCATCCTCTTAACCCCTTCGAACAACAACCAGAAATGACTGCCTGGATCACCAAGGGCACGGTACTGCAGATCTTGTCCAAGGAGAGGAATGATGAGGGATATCAAACACAATAAAAGCTTACTAAATCTTGGAGTGGCCTTGCTAGAGTGAAAAGAAAAGTATGTCGATAGCTTCTCCAAAACTCAGGTAAAGTTCACCCTCCCTCCCTTCCTTTTAGCTGACATGTGAAAATTTATTGGGCAAAAGTATGCACCTTACAAAAATCATATGATTACAGAAACCAGATTATATGTTCTTCTCTACCTTCATAAGAAGAGGCAGTAGTAGACGGCTACAAAATGCTAACATCATTTTCTGTTTTATTATTGGCCTTTTGAGATATATTGATTTTATAACTCTACAATGTACAAAGATGCTAAAATCTAAACAGAAGGGTTCTACATGAAGTTAAACTTGGTTTATTGTGTCCCTTTCGAGGTTCCATTGTCTCTTTCATTAAAGGAAAGTGATAGTTAAAGATTAAAAGGTATATATCATAGGAAGCAACTTGCAAGAGGATATTATTGCAGGGTCCCATCTAGGGGAAGGCTTGTGCAAGAATGTCTTGATAATCAGGCTTCCACATATGTCGTATCTACCATGAAGGACTAGTACAAACTTTGTCATAAGTGCGTTGTTTCTTTTGGCTTCATTCGTTCCTGACAGAGTGTATATAAGTTGTGATTAAACTTTTAGTTGTTGGCCCTAAAACAATGTATGTAGTTTTCTGCTTTCTTTTTGGGCTAAATTACATGAAAATTTGTGCTTTTAGAGATTATATGTCTGAAATTTGAAGGTTAAGAACTGAGTGATTAATGTTTCATTTCAAACATTGGGCCATTAATATTGATTGAATTGATGCATTTAATTGCTGTCACATAAAATAATTGTGTTTGTGGCTATGCTGGGTATTTTTTTGAAGCTGGGTGCACTTTGTTATATTATTTGAATTATAGTTTTTTTTTATACAGTTGCTAGGTCATATGTATAAAGTTGTGATTGGAGATTCAGGACAAGGAACTTTATGGATGATGAGTATGGTCCAGAATGAAATTACTAAGCTATAATGGAAACACATGGAGTAAATCATCATCCAGGCATGAACTGGTAACATGGATTTACCTGCTTAATCGTAGTAAGGTCTGATAATGTGAATTGATTATACTTACTTGCCACCCTTTTTATTGGGTGCAATTTTGGACCTCTTGGTTACTTACAGCCCTGTGGGGGCTTTGTAGCTCGCTCATCTGCTCTTGTATAATAATCTCATGTGGATAAATGCAGACCCATAGTTCAATCGATTTGGATGATACTGCCCTTTACAAATGAATGTATTCTACGATTGGGGGGAATCTATGTGCATCAATAACTACAGAATTAGAATGATCCTAGTAATGGTACGTGTTGTTAGATGCAGTCCTTATTTTTTATACTTATGTTCTCAACGGCCGGCTCTCAAAAGAATTTCATTTGTTATTGTAAGATTTGCTCTTTGGCCTTCCTGACAATGAATTTGTTGTGTGTTTTGCTAGGATATTCATCTGTAGCTTGTTAGCAATCTGACTAATTAAGATGTTCTATCAACGTTGTGTAGTTTGTTGTAACAAAATAAATAAGCAAATAAAAGTGCAGTTTGATGGATCATGCAGTTTAGGAGAAATGTTGATTGATGGCTTATTATTTGCATCTGTCCTGGCTAAATTGGATGAGCAACTCTTGAATTTAGAGTGGAACCGATTAATTGATTTGTTGCCAAAATAAGATGTCAAGGAATAACTCTTGATTTACTAATACAAGAACCCATTATTTGGTCTCATGTGATTCTTGGGCTCGTTAAGAATTATTGTCCCGATAATATTTAGGATGCTTCGGAGACCTTGTTAATGTCATATTATTATTTTCTAGTATGCTGGTTGTTTATGTTCATACGAATGCCACTAGATCTTCCTATTATCGAAATTCAACTGCCACGGACTTACTGTGAAGGTGAAGTTTGCTTGCAGGTGAATCTCCTCAAAGTTGCATTTGATGAAAGGGTGGATGGCGTCATCTACATAGAAGATCATGTAGCCAAGATACTGAATATTGTCTGTTATGATTTGATCTTATTCTTCAACATGAAGCACAACAATAAATGAGCAATGACATTGATCCTATGCATTTCAATATTATACCGAAAGGGTAAAAGGGTGAAGCAGGAGCTAGCTAGGAAAAACTAGGCGCATTGCTGTTTCTTGATTTTTACTTGATTTCCAGGGGAATGGGCATTTAGTGCCGTAGTTTTGTTTGAGGCAATACGATGAGTGTTATGCGTGATGTTAAATTCGTCGTTGTGTTTTTAGTTCTTAGTTTGGTGTAAGCTTGCTGATCATCAAGGTGATAAAAAATCGTTTGACTGCAGCCTATGAATGGTCATTGTGAAAGACTTTTATTGTATTTTCTTTAGGTAATGTTGAAACTTTGTTTAGGCCCTTACGTTCTCAGCCAACAAACACTGGAGGGGAACAAACAAACTATGTCGTTATTTTGTATCCTCTTATACGTAAATTACTCCTAAATGTCTTAAGCTAAATTACTTCGATTTTCCTTATGAAATGATAATGAACTTAATATGATAATTTGGATGTCCATCAGTTCATTAGTTTTAACATAAATTTATTTTTGATACATTAGAAATTGTCGTCACGATTTTGATTTCAAATCTTTTTATTTTCCCACGAGAAAACGAGTGACGCTGCTTAAATAGAGGTTTCTGTGTTACGTTACAGGTGAAGAATTTTTATGATTCTTCTTGTAATAGAAAAATCCCGGTTTTGTTGGTTTCCAATTACTCTAGTCACAGTTGAAGGAAATTCTTTTGCCCGTACATAAACTTTTAAGGGCAGTTTATATAAACATGCAGATGCCTTATGCCCGAACATAAGTAGCAGCAACGGTTGTGTATATAATATGTGAAACTGTTATTATACGTGAATGGATTTTCTTTTTTAACCACGTCGTTTGTAATATCTTAACCATTCACTCATAAATTAGATTTTACGATTCGAATGGTAATACTAGTAGAAGAGAAAGTGATTATATTAAGAGTTTTATAAGAGTTACGTTGTAGGAAAAGTGATTGTGTAATGTTATAGAGATTCGTTTTGCGTGTCTGTAATTTTCTTTTTTTCTTTTTTCTTCAAAAAGTGTGAGCCCCACAAAATGTTGTGTGTGTAGGAAAGTTTGTTGTATCATGTTAAATGACAAATGCAAACCCCTTGTATTAATCACTGACCATTGATATAATATGAATTAATAAATGAAGTGAGATTTTTCACATAATAAACAAGAGACAACCATTCCTTATTATATAGAAGGTGATGGGGGCTCAAACTTGTGTCAATACCAATCATAATCATTCTAATGCAACCTTCACGTCACACACTTTCATGCGGTGAGTCAAACATGAAAGGATGCCATGAATTCAAAGCCTTGGTTCAGAAGAGCCCCAGTCACCCATAGCTTCAAATTTGGCAGGTTAATTTCTGATTCAGACCCTTTTACCTGTTTTCAACACATCAATGACCAAATCCATAAGCAAAACGAAGACTCATTTCAACAAATTAGAAAGATTAAATAGGAAGGAGAGTATAGCTTACATTCAAAGTAAACGTAAGTAGAAAACTGTCACAAACTGTAACCAAGTTTGAATTCTGAACATTGAAACCTGCAAGAGACTCAAGAGCACCGTATAGAGAGGCAGCTACCCCTTCTCCTTTATTGCACACTATTTTGGCATAATACCCTCTTTCCTCTACTTGAAACATGTCCATCTACAAAGCAGCATACACAAATGTTGTTACAAACTAAAAACTTATGGAGTTGAAAGGATTTTTAATTTTTAATTTTTATTGTCAAACAAACCTGCATGATCTTCTTGCTGATTGGAGCCCTGTTGTGGGTGACTTGAACCTTTACGGGGTTGTTAGTTGGTTCTTGATAATTTTCGGACACTAACAAGGATGCTTCAAGTCCTGCAACCTCAGCCTTCAGCTTCTTAGCTTGTGCTTGAAGCTCATGTACGTATGATACTGCATCTCCAATTATAGAGGCCTTATCCATCTGTGGATAAAATAATATACATATATATAAGTTACATTTCAATCTCAAATATAAAGCTTGTCAGATTTAATTAAACTTTTTAATACATCCCCAGTAAGTTTGTTTTTAATTATATGACATTTAACAGAGCTAGCCATTTCAATTATTTTTTTTTTATACAAAAAGTTTAAGTGAGGTTAGATATCGGTATTCCTAAGATCAGAAAAGATTCCTAAACCTCTTTGAGGATTTCGGAAGGGATTACATATCACCCATCAATAAAGTCCTCACATCAGTCAACAGGTTTGAATTCACACCCTTAAGGGATATGGACCAAACCCTTAGCCAACTGTATCCACCTTTGTTCACCTAGCAGTCTCAACGATGAACCTAACTTTTTGCAAGAAAAACTATACATATTAATTAAATGACAATATTATCTTTGCAACATGACATGGTATAGAGAGGTTTATGAAACTAATGTGAGCCATAGTATTTTTTTTTTTTTATACATATCTATATGACCCAAAAATAGGGATGATATTACCAATTCAAGACTTCAATAAAATTGAAGGGGATAATCACTATTCCTATGAAGAAAGAAAAAAACTAAAACAATGTATAAATTTGAAGGGGGCGATCTTCATCCCTCCCTCCATCACTGGATGTGAGATCTTTGTAATTTCTAGCAATTAGTATGCGAAATCTTTTTATGACCCATCATTTGGCCTTCATTAAGAAAAGATAAAGGACTTCAAATAACAATTTTACTTGCTTAACTAATCTAATTGAAATGGGGACACATACCTTAGTTATGTTGGGAACCAAAGAACGCAAAGCATAAAGCTTCTCCTTCATTCGGCCTCTCCTCCTCCTCTCAGAAATGAGAGTCTTGGCCCTATCAGATTTTAGCCTTGTTTTGGCATCACCACCGGTTCCAGTTGCCGTGGTGGTGGTAGTGGTGGTGGTGGTAGTGGTTGCAGAAGAATCCTCTTCATCATTTTCTTCTTCATCTTCTTCTTCTCCTTCTCCCTTAACATCATCATCAAAACATGAGAAGGAGTTAAATGTAGAGCTGGGATCATAGGCACTCACAGCATTACTACTGTTTTGATCAAAAGGGTTTCCAGGACATGAAAGGGGATATTGATTATCAACGAAGCAATCATTGATAAGGTCAGAATTGAAGTTAGAAATGGAACTTTCATTGCCCCCTCGAATCAAATTGATAAACTGATGATCAAAGTTGGGATCGGCAATGAAGTTGTGTAGCTCAAAATCATTCATGTTCACTTGTGTGTCTTGGTGGTGAACATCCATTGCGTACATGATTGGAACTTGGTTAGTTAGAGATCTGATTGCAATTTATAGAAGGAAGGTTGACATTATTATTAATATAATAATAGTTTTGGTGGGAATAGAATAAGATGAGTTTCTGATAGTTAATTAACTAGAGTAGACATTTATTATATATATATTTCTAGTTAGTCAGGTTTATAACTACGCGGGATGACCATGACCCATATTTGATTACTATATATGTGTCCAAGGTTTGGTAAAAGATGTGACCAACTTGGGCAAAAAAATTAACTAATTGCATTTTAAATAAAGAATTATGAATTTATTATGGTTTTGAAATTATCTACGCGTATATTGCAGTGTGTTACGTTTGGATTGGGCGTCACTAGTCACGCCTAAGTTAGGCGTCACTCATGTAGTGTTGACACATGTCACAAAAAATTAACATTTTAACAGTAAAACTTCAAAAGGCCATAACTTTTGACTCGGGTATCCAAATCAGGTAATTCTTTTTTTGATTCCATATAACTTTTTGAGAGTTACACAATGACACCTCATTTGGTATATTTTATCTCTCACAAACATAATTTGAATTTGTAACAAAGAGACTTTATCTTGTAAGACGTGGTCTGAAATTAATGATGGCACCAAAGTGGATTAGTCTATCTATAAATAAGAATACTTAATGTCATAGTAAAATATATATTTTATACCAAATGTTTGAAAAAAAATAGTGTATAATATTGTCAGAAAAGAAAGTACAATAATATAAAAGTGTGAGAGAGATTGGTGAATTTTTGAATTCGTAAATATCGAAAAATTTTCGAAAATTTTCCAGTGCGTAGATATCGAAAAGTTATGTGGAATAAAAAAATCACCTGCTTCGGACTTCCAAGCCAAAAAAATTACATAGGTCTTCTTTGAATTTTTGAAGGACCACGATTTCAATTAATTGGGTTTATTTTGAATTTATGAGGGACCTTAAGTCGACTTTTTTTTAATGGATTAAAATGAGGGATAGGATATTGTAACAACCAATTAGTGTTACTACCAATCAATTTCACCGTTAGATCGATTATGCTGATCCAACGGTTATACTTATTTCCATCTTTGTATGGTTATGATTCCCTATATTTAATGTGAAAGAATTATATATGGAAAATCATAACCATACAAAGGTGGAAATAAATATAAAATATTAAATATGAAAAATCCTAACTATATAAAGATGGAAATAAATATAACTGTTGGATCCACATAATCGATCTAACGGTGAAATTGATTGGTAGTAATACTAATTGGTTGTTACAATATCTTTTCCCTTAAAATGGACCCTGTGTTTTTTCTTGAGGATGAAAAAATGTACTTACTCTTTTTAAAAAGAAGATTGCGTTTGGTGTTGGTTCCAAAATAACTCTAAGGCTTCTGGATTTAAATGCTCTTATAGTACCATTGTTGCAAATTCGAATTGTGTTTATGAGAGATAAAATATATCAAATAAGATGTCATTGCGTAGATATCATAAAGTTATGTGGAATTAAAAAAAATTACTTGATTCGGATACCTGAGTCAAAAGTTATGACCTTTAGAAGTTTTACGGTTAAAATGTTAATTTTTTGTGACACATGTTAACACCACATGAGTGACGCCTAACTTAGGCGTGACTTCCTCATGGGTGACGCCTAACTTAGGCGTGACTGGTGACGCCCAATCCGGGCGTGACATTGTGCAATAAATGCGTAATTATTTTCGAAACTATAATAAATTCTTAATTTTTTATTTAAATACAATATATTAATTTTTTTGCTGACCAACTTGTTAATAAATGTTGTGTCTCGGAGCCCTGCAATTCTTAGCTCGGCCTCATATTCAATTAGCCCGGTCTTTTTCAAGTCGGCTTGTGGAAACGACAATGAACAATAACAGCAAATTAAAAATAGAGATAAGAAGGAAGAGAACACCAAAAATTTTAACGTGGAAAAAACCTTTTCGATGTGAAAAGTAAAAACCACATGACCAAGTCCAGAAAATTGTCCATTATGAACAATGAAATTTACAAAAGATTCTCTCTGACTTAATAACTAGAGGACTTCACCTTCTAAAGGATGGATCTACTCACAAGTGCTTCACACAAGTGTTTCTCTCTGTAAAGGGGATAGAGAATCCTACTCAACAGGGTATTCTTCTTCTTCTTCAGCGGTGGCCGCTGAGTTTCTTTCTCAAAGAATTTTTGTCTTTGACTTGTGCTTTACTCTTGAACGTTTCTCTTTCTCTTTCTTTTTCTTCTTTTTCAGCATCTAAGCATATCTTATAAACAAGCAAAAAAAATTTAATTATTGCATTTTAATTAAATAATTACGCATTTATTACAGTTTTGGAAATAATTACGGATCCATTGCACAATGTGACGCCTTTTTTGGGAGTCACATGTGACGCCTCATTTAGGCGTCTCTCACCTCAGGGGAGACGCCCCAATGGGGTGTCTCTCACCTAAGGTTGACACGTGTTTTTTTTTTTTTTCTAAAAAAAAAATAATTTAATCATAAAACTTTTGAAGGCCATAACTTTTGACTCGGGTATCCAATTCAGGTAATTCTTTTTTTTATTCCACATAACTTTTCGAGATCTACGCAATGACATCTCATTTGATATATTTTATTTCTCACAAACATAATTTAAATTTAAATTAGGTAATCCTTCTTCCTTAGAGATTTAGAATATTTATTTAATTATTTCCTTTATTAGTACAGATTTTTCAAATTGGTTTTTGAGTTTAAATTACAAATCAAATCTTTATTTTGTTTTCCTTATTAATAATAATTGTTACTTTTAATTTAAATCAGAAACCAAATTTTTTTATAATAAAAATAAAAAAATTTATTTTTTAAATTAAATCACACATCAAATCTTAATTTATTTTTTATATTAAATCACAAACGCATAACTCAAAGGCTTCTGAGTTTAAAAATATGACACGTGTCAACACTTGACACGTCACCAATCACGTCTAAATTGGGTTTCAATCAAGAGGCAATCACGCCTAATTTAAGTAATTTTATTTTTGAAAAACATTCATAATCCATCATTAATTTCAGACCACGAATAATAATCCAGAAGCTTATAGCATTTATCATTAATTTCAAAAATAATATCCTTCTTCCTTAGAGATTTAGAATATTTCTATAATTATTTTCTTTATTTCTACAGATTTTTCGAATTGATTTTTTTGTTTAAATCACAAATCAAATCTTTATTTTGTTTTCCTTATTAATAATAATTTTTATTAAATCATAAACCAAAATTTTGTTATAATAAAAAAAGTATTATAAAAAAAATTAAATCACAAATCAAAATTTTATTTATTTTTTTATTTTAAATCACAAACCCAGAACTCAGAGGCTTCTTGATTTAACTGCTCTTATAATACCATTCTTACAAATTAAAATTGTGTTTGTGAGAAATAAAATATATCAAATTAGATGTCATTGCGTAGATCTCGAAAATTTATGTGGAATCAAAAAAAGAATTACTTGAATTGGATACCCGAGTCAAAAGTTATGGCCTTCAGAAGTTTTATGATTAAATTATTATTTTTTTTGAAAAAAAAATGACACGTGTCAACCTTAGGTGAGAGACGCCCCACTGGGACGTCTTCTTTCAGGTGAGAGACGCCTAAATGAGGCGTCACATGTGACGCCGAAATGAGGCGTCACATTGTGCAATAGATCCGTAATTATTTCCAAAGCTGCAATAAATGCACAATTATTTAATTAAAATACAATAATTAAATTTTTTTTGCCCTTATAAATAAGAGATTATGGCATCCATTAATTTGGGCCGGATCCATCATGGGCGACAAACCCAACAATAAATTCATACAAGATATAGATCTTCTTGAAGCTAGTTTTAAAGAACTTTAGTAACCAAAGGGGATTAGTTCAAGTGGTACGTACTTGATTATGCTTAACTAAGGTTTTAGTGAATGAAAAAAAAAACTTTAGTATTAGAGTTCCATTGGGTTTTTACAATTAAATTGAATTCGGAGAAGAAATTTACCTTTTGAATTCTTTTTTTTCTTTTTGGAGGAAAATATCAACAGAAATCAACCTTGTTGCAGCCATTCTCGACTTTCAACTTTTACATAATGTAATGAAATAGATTATGGCAATTGTCAATTTGATTAGAAAAATGCAAATCAGCACTAGGTTAGAAAATTGTATGTTCAATGAATGATAGAAGCAGTTTTAAATAACCCCTCGTCACTTTCATATCCTGGGGGTTAGCATTAGTATTACTATTATATGCTGTTTTAAAAGTGGTTCAAATGAAGGCAAACTGTCCAGCATGTGCATGCGCGTTTCTCGACTTGTATTTTAATGGAATAGCTCATTGGTACAAGGTCACTATCTAATAATGCGCACTGCAATTTATTGTTCGGTATAAATGACATACGTCGTCTTTCTATACTATTATTGTGTGAAGGAATCAAGCAGAAAATTAATAACTTCCTCACAAATTTTAGATTTTATAAAACAAAAGGGAAGTAAGTAATGTGACGGGAGGATATTTCGCGCCTACAAAATATTTTCCGCATGGGAGTGGATTTTCCTAGATTACATGATCTCAGATCATGTGAAATAATATCATTTATTTATAAATAATTTGACACTGAAGAGAGATTAATGGTATGGGAGAATTATCATTGATTGGCTAAACATTAATTCACCATGGATCTCACATCACATTTCAACTAAAATCTTGTGGTTCTCAATTTTCTCAGTTTTAATTAATCTGAAATTTTATTACTAGCATTTGAATTTTCAATATTTTCATTGAAATTTAATTACACTCATCATTGCCTCTGATACCACTGCTAAATAAAGAGAGGAGTTCATGATAGAAGAGAACTATAAATTAATGGTGGGTTGCAGCTTACTCTATTTGGTAGTTCTCCACTATTATGAACTTTCATTCTTACCCAACAAAATCACTAATATTATTGACCGTGGTGGGTCCACCAATAATGAGTT